CTACTCATCCAGCACAATGCCACATTATTTAATTTTGTAACACATTCATACGACTGCCTGACAACAGCCATGGACGGGAACACTACCTGTGGGCTCGGGTCAAGGCGAGGCAGTTTAACGTTAAAACAAAGGAGCTAATTGGATTCCTGCTCAAGTTCCAGCTTTTTAGGGGATCACAGTTACTTTTCGTCTCTCGCTGCCTCGGTCGGCTCGCCGGGAAAGGAGGACCAAGGTGTGACTGGAGGAAAAACGCAGTGCATATGCCTGGACTATTTGGTCATTCTTCCTAATTTCTCCATCCTTTCTTTTCTTTTTTTTTTTGTTTGCCATCCTGGTTTGTGAATTCCAGCCCGTTTCCCTCGGAGAGCAGAAATGCAGCTCGCCTTGTGGAACAGGAAGGACTGAATTAAAAAGGAGAAGCCATCTTCAGCTGTAAAAATTACACGCCTTGCTAATGCCAAAATTAATAAGACAGAGATATTTGGGGCTTACACTTCATTCTTACAGCTGGCAGTGCACAGAATATTTTACAAATAAGACTACATCCCCTACCCCAAACCTTCTAGAGACAAGTAAGTGCCATCCCCTTTCCCCAGAAGAGAAGTATAAACACGGAGCAGAAATATGAGCAGTACAAGGAGACTGAAGAAATTCAAGGCTGAAAAAAACGAAACCCCAGAATTTTTGCCTCCTTGTTTCTAAACTCATAAAAAATACTTTCTCTCTGTCTCACAAAAAAAAAAAAAAGGATTAAATAATTTAATTAAAGACATAACCTTGTTTTATATTAAATTGCCTGCAAAGCTCTCTTCTGTTTGCAGAGGAGCTGAGAGTCACCCTCTGCAACGGCTGTTGTGTAGTGTGACTTTCAAAATAATATCCTTTCAGTGCACAGAAGGAGAGAGCAAAAGATGTATGTCCTCTGGCTCAACGTGGATGGGTGTCTCCAAGGAGCTCAGACAGATGATCAGACCACAGACTGTCAAAGGCACGGAGTGGGGATGGAAGGAGGGAGAACAGTCCCAGCTCAAGATCAGAACAGGCTCAACTGCCACCAAACTTCCAGGAGGAAGCCCCACTCTTTGCACCACCCCCAGGAAACTCGAGTTTGGAGCTGCAGCCTTTCCCTTTGCAGGTCCTCCCTCCCCTTCCCTAATCCCCTCGCACACAGGGCTGCCCACAATTCCCTGAGCAGCAAACGCCTCAGTTTTGGTTTTGGGCAGGACCACTGCAGGGTTCATCCCTGCGTGCACAAAGTGATAAACAGGCAGATCCAGTCCCTGCAGGCTGAACTCCAGTTCCCTCCGCAGATGTATTTTTGTTATAAGCCGAGGCTCGCTGTTGTGCCGTGTAAAAAAAAATGTAGTCACTCAAAGAAGTGGTTTTAAGTTCAAAGATAATGCCATGTTCACTTGGAATATAAGCATGAGCAGCACACTCACAGATACACTCTCTGTCCCCCTACATCCCTATCTCAGCTGTAGGCAGGGTGGTAATATATAAAGAGCGAGCAGGTGGGATTTTTTTTAGGTGGGGAAGAAAAAGGCTTATGGCTCAGAAGCTGAGTTCACTGCCTATCCCACATTTTGGAAAGGACACAAAAATGCCTCATGAATTGAGCAGGCAAGCTGCAAAGTAAAAAGAAACAATAGTATGCAGAGAAATGCAGGAAATCCGCTGATTAAAATGTAGGATTTTGTTTCAATAGAGTTTGGCCAGAGTCTCCATTTCTTCTGCCACCAGTGTGAAGGGGCCACTGGACTTAAAATGTGAAAAAGCCATTTATCCACTTACATTTGGTGTCTTGCAAGGTCTGAGTCCTGAAGGAGCTCAGAAATAAGGAGTTTTCAGGTTGGCACCCACCTAAATAGCCCTGCTCGCTCTATGTAAATGGCCTCAGTGCCACGCTGAAGGTATTTGCTCTGTGCTGGTAACCAACACCATTCCCAGGAGCAGGGCTTGGGCTCTCATCTCCCTGTGCACTCAGAGGAGAGGGATAAGCCCCCTAAGTGGGATGAGGGAGCGGCTGGAGGACTAAAGGGATGATTCCACACACACTTTCTGTGAGCAGGCAGCCCCAGTCAGGACTTCAGCCTCCGATCCATTCCCTGCCTACTGTGTTTTAATAAAATGCTCGGGAAAAAAAACCACTTTGCAAGTCATCTCCTGCACATCAGCAGTGCCAGACAATTAATCAGGGATTCCTGTGCCACGTCATAAATTACGGCACCTCCTGTCACTGACACTTGAGACACAGGGTGTGAAAACCCGTCTACAGCGATACCCTTTAACTCGGGCAGAACCCCTTGGGGTGTGTTTGTGACCACCACTCCTGGCAGCCCACAGGGTCTGATCCTGATCCCACTGCTCTGGCCGTGGATACTACAGAGATGTTTTGCTGTGATAAATGGTTACGTACATGACATCAAAATGGAGCCTTCAGCTGACTGTTTACAGTAACACAGGACAATGCTCTCCCCACTAGTTATTCCATCATCACCAACTAACTGGAAGACCTGGAGAAGTCCCTCCATGTGTCATCAGATGACTTCAAAATGGGAGAGGGCTGCAGCACACCAAAATCTTCCCCACAACCTCTCTCTCTCTCTCAAGCAGGAACTCAAGTCCAGGCAGTAACTCCCCCATGAGATGCGCAGTGATGAAATTTCCCCAAGTTAAACAATTATGTTTAGAAACACAAACACACGCAGAGAGACCTCCCACTAACTCAACAGATTCTTTTGAAAGTTGGCACTGTCAAAACAAACACAGTCGCCTGTAGCACCCTTCCACTGCTCCTGCTGACAGCGCTAGTGAGGAGGAGGAGGTGCTGAGCACTTTGTTATTATGAGGAGGAGGATAGTGTTGGGAAAGGTGTTGAGTTTGACACGCAAGTATCAAGAGCAGGAAAGCGAAAGTCAAGGAAATCAGCCTTGTGCCACCTAAAATTGCTCTGGCACTAAACCTACCAAAAAAAAAAAAAAATTAAAAAAAAATCAATGACTCTGCTTTCACAGGAGTTTTCACATCAACCTGAGGGAGCGTGAAGCCCGAGCTGCACCAGATGGAAAGGCACTGGAAGTAGGGAGTGAGACAGGAGCAATGCTGGTATCTATCAGCCACATCAAACACAGAATTCACAAACAGCAATTAGGGCTATTCACTCATCTCTCCCTGCCTTTTACTTCTTCTGTACCAGCCAGGAGGGAAAGACAGCGCAGAGGGAAAAGCAAATTGTTATAAACATATCTGCAGGTAGTAAAAGGATTGTTTATACTCTTAGGTATTTCTGCCTGTTATCTGAGTAAAAAATTTGGTAATACAGCAACCTGAATTTTAGGTGGGAAGTTATTTTTCCTTGGTTCCACCTTTTCAAACTCATTTAATCACAGCAGCTTGTCTTCCTTTGCCCTCCCTCACAAAAACACCCCTCCCCACGCCGCATTTAAAACCTTCTCACAAAGAAAACCGAAGGAAAATAATTTTTGTGCAACTTATCCATCTTTCAAAGCAGCTTCTGGCAGAAGGGAGCCGAGAGTGATGAGTCCGTAGAATAATAAATAATAACAATATTGAGCAGTTTTGCAGAGCAAATGTACATTGAAAAACTTTTCCTCTTGAGTGCCTGACATTATTAATTTGTTCTCCAAACACACCGGTGAGGGGAGTCAGCCCATTTTTACAGACAGGGAAAGCGAGCACATAGATTTCAATAATTGTTTAAGACACAGAGGAGTCAGCTCCAGAAACTGGGCAAACAGCTCACAGGAGATCACAGCCCCATATCCATGGCAACATTTGGGCAGAGCCCTGCCACCACAGTAATTGCTACCGGCAAGTGACACATGCTTGGGGTTTTTGACACCCGTGAATAATATCCTCCCTGAACTGCCCTTCCCTGTGCTCCTCCAGGAGGACGTCCCAGGCCGTAAGGAGCAGCACAGGCTGCACAGAAGTTCCTGTAATTATTGATGGCACAAGTATTTCTAACCCCTTCCCAGCTTCTGCCTAAAAGGGTTCAAACTCACACTAATCTACTGCCGAAGTCATATGTGACATCCAAACAACCCATTCTGAGCTGCACGGGGGCTCACCTGGGACAGCCTTTCCCAGCAGTCCCGTGGAACAGCAGCATTTTTATTTTGCACCACGAGGGCTGTGTTTTCAGCCCCATTACTGCACAGCAGAGCTTTCAGATGAATTGAGGGGAGGGGGAGAAGACCTGAGCTGACTTGCTGTATCCACATGAAATGGGCTGTGGATGACCTTGTGTCCAACCTTCTAACATCTAAGACAAAAGCATGGAAAAGCTGAACAAAGGAAAGCAGGAAAGCTCACTGAACGGGGGGGATTATGGTGGGGGGTGGGGTGGTGTTTTGTTCGTTTGCATAGAGATACAAATTGAGGTTGAGAAGAAGATAATTAGTTTTTAAGTCTTTTCCTGTGTTACAATACTTGTAGCAGAGTCACAAAAGTAACAAGAATTTCCAGGACCAGCACAGCACCAATAACGGGTCAAAATCTTGTTTGCCGTATTCACGCTAACGAGGGCTCAAAAATAAGTGGATGTGGGGATTCCTGTGTGGACAAACATCACTGCCCCAGGTTCCCCTGATAATGGCTTGTGGATGACAACCCACCTTCATCCTCCCTTCTCATGAGCCAGATTATGATGCCAAGCAAGGCAGGCAGAGGGACAGCTCTTGTGTGTCACCCACCCCCTACTTGCCCTGGGCAGTGCCTGGCACTGGCACACCACTATGATATGCACATGCTGATGCACCAGGGCTGCTGCTTTTGCTTTTTAGAGCTATTGATTTCCTGCCCTTTCTTGTAAAGCATTCCGTGAACTGGAAGCAGTTAAAGGTTAACGGCAAAGATTTCATTAAAAGGAATATTTTAGAATTGTTTAAAGATTCTAAATCATTAGCAGTTAAACGCCTACACCCAAGAACTGCTCTGAAATCTGTGTCTTTAGGCAATGAAGTTCCAAGAGGTACCTGTCAGCAGGAGCACTCCTGACTCTGCTCGCTCTGCTCCAGCTCGGCCCCCGCAGGCAGCTCCCAGATCCCGGCAGCAGTGCTGGTTGTCACCAGGAACCCTCCACTTGGGATCTCACTAGGAGGAAGAAGAAGAAGAAATAAATGGGTTTTATCAGTTGGCAGAGCCTTGAAGTGATCAAAGTTTGGCATTTTGGCGAAAATGAGAAGTCCGAAGGAGATGCTGGGAGAAGGGGACAACAGGCCTCTACTGGCACGGCCACCCCTGGCATTGTGTGACCCAGCAAGGGCAGGGAGATGAGAGTCCAACCCTGCGGCACACACAACACCCCAGTCCATGCCAGCAATTCCTGGGGGGCTGTCTGGGGGACAGAGCTGCTGAGGAGCAAAATCAGACATTAAAGGGACAGTCTGCACCAAACGCTCCTGCCAGAGGGGAGGAGAAGTGAGGAAAAGTTCGCCCCTGGTGAGACCCCACCTGCAGAGCTGCCTCCAGCTCTGGGGTCCCCAACACAGGAGGGACAAGCTGGAGCAAGTACAGAGGAGGCACCAAAATAATCAGAGGGATGGAGCAGCTCTGCTGTGAGGAAAGGCTGAGAGACTTGGGATTGCTCAGCCTGGAGAGGTGAAGGCTTTGGGGTCACCTAATTGCAGCCTCCTTCCAGTACCTGAAGGGAGTCACCAGGAAGGATGGAGAGAGATTATTTACAATGGTCTCCAGTGACAGGACAAGGGGAAAGGGGTTTAAACTGAAAGACAGAAGTTTCGATTACATATTAGGAGAAGATTCTTCACTGTGAGGGTAGTGAGGCACTGGAAAAGGTTGCCCAGGGAATTTATGGTTGCCCCATCCCTTTTGCTTTATGCACAAACTTAGGCCTTGGACAAAGGGAAAAGTTCCCTGCCTGAGAGCACCAAGGGGAGCAGTTTTGCTCCCCTGGGGACCTGTGCATGTTAATTTTAGAAGGACCCTCCTGGTGCCTGAAACCAGCATCCAACTGCTGCCGACAGCACCTGGCACAGGGGCCACATCCTGCACATCCTCTGGCAGCTTTTCTGGGAAGTGGCTACAGCACAGCTACAGTACAGATGGTCCTTCATTTGGGGGTGTTTGGATCCAGAGCCTTCATTTGGGTCTGTCTGAAGGGAAAAACTGCCTTCAACACACGCCAATATTTTGGGTTTAAAGCTACACGGACATGGCTCAACTTATTTCCCTTCTCTCCCCCAGCACCAGTTCCACCTCGTTCAGGCAGTGCAAAGGCTTCACCTACCGGAGCTAAAAACTCCTCTGCTTCTTCCAGGTGGAGATCACCACCTAAGCCTTAACGGTGGGACACCCCAGCAGCCTTGGGGAGGGGCCAGAGTTCCCTTGGGAATGCTGAGGTGAAATGCTGCTCTGTGCTGGGGTGTATCAGAAATGAGGGGCACGGTATTTAAAACACACCCAGCGGGATCTGTTCCCCACAGAGGGTTCAGCCACAATAGCTTCATTCAGTCTTCTGAGTCATTAGAGTATTCCCTGCATTATTTTTTAAAGGTTTGCTCTACCTCCTAAAGAATTGCTTCTCAATGCAAAAGCAGAATGATGAATACACACATCTTCCCTTTCCCTGCTGAATACAAGTTTGAGAAACATAATGCTTCTCATCTGATTTCCTCCCCGAGTCAAAATAAGCCAACCAAATCCTGCACTACACCTATCAATACAAACAAAAGATTCAGAAGTGGGGTTTTTTGTAGCAGAAATAAACACAGTTTAGGGAATGATTTTCCTTTCATGACAGCTTAAGGTCCTTCAAACTTGACAGAATTGATTACTGAATCAAAGCAAAGGAAAGCAGGGAATGGAGTTCTCTTGCATACACCTGTAACGTTGCACACTCAGGGAAGGAAGCTACTGGTAAGGAAAACCCAGAGAGGGAATAAGAAGAAGGGATATCTTGGGATTAGCTTTAGCATAACATCCCACAGTATGTTTACTTTGCTCCTCCATCTCATATTTCTTCCTGGGCTCGGTCCCCAGCCCTGCAGACCCTCCCAGGAGTACAATGCCCCTTTCGCGCATTGCACGAGTGGCACCGAGAGCACGGCGGCTTCAAAACATAAAAGGGGAAAAAAAAAGTCTCCCTCAACGCCATCATCATTTTTAAAAAAGGCAATTGATGTCGCCTGAAGCAGCAGCTATGAAGCCCAATTATACCACATTTCATTCAAGTGTCAAAAATTGGAATAATAATAACCAACAACGAGGAGCACATATAGGAAATGATGCTGCCATCTTCTTTTGTTTTGGCCCTGTTGTTTTCATAAATCCAGGCTCTGAGCAGCCCCAGTGCCACATTCCTTCAAGGACTGTCTTGTTCGCTATTGTTTCCAGTTCTTAACAATTGGCTTCCCCGACTACTTTCCTCGTGTTGACAGTCGCTCGCAGAGCCTCCATATGCTCCCACTACTTGGGTAGTCAATCATTTGTGAATTAGCTACCCAATCAAAGATCTACAAGAGGGCTGGGAGTGTTTACTCGTTGCTGGTGTTTTGAGTGAGTGTGTTGCTTGCGAAAGGTGTCAGATTAAACACGCAGAAATGAACTGACTCCCGGAACACGGATCGCGTAGTCGGGAGCAGAGATGTGAGCGCTGGCCCGAGTTCACTCTGGTTTTCCGTGGGGGTTTTTTTCCCATTTGTTTCGTTTGTGGTTTAAACCCTGCCTGTCCCTGGACTCGGGAAGACTTCAACCACCTGCTTCCTTGAAATGGAATATTTGGAAGGAGGTTGGAATCTTGGCTGGAAGCAAGAGAGCGGCTCCAGGGGCTGCCTCAGTGTGGAGGACAGAGAGGTTAAAGCAATCAAAGACATCCTGATGGCATGTTTTTCTCCCTTCAGATCATGGAGGTGCACAGTGCAGCCCTGAGAAACGCATTCCTCTTCGCATCAGCAATATTCCTGCACTCCCGGCTGCATGGATGGAGCCTTCCTAAGAAGCACTTGTGCCTGATGCTGTGTATGATCTCAGACAAAAGCTGTCCTCCTTTTAAGATCTGCCTCAAAACACCAACACAATACTTCCCTTAGCTGTCATTTTGGGGGAATTTAAAGGCATTTTAACACTGGCCAACACAGCCTAAACCAAGCAATGCCAGCTTGCGGAAGAGCCAGCGTTCAGGGAGCAGAGTTGTTCCAAATCAGGATTATCACTTCCCATCAGAGACACTGCCTAATTCAGAGCTGGACACAAACCTTCACAGGATTTAAACACACGGCTCAGATGAACTTGCCTCCTTTTATAAGAAAAGGGGAAAAAAACCAGTTGAGGTAACGAGGCTGTGTTTGGAGGCCTCACTTTACAGCCCAAGTTTATGCTGAAAGATGACTCACATAAATATCCACAGGGGTTCCATACTGTCACCTTCACCTGACTTTAGAGATCACCAGTAATCTATTTATAAGTTAAAAAAAAAAAAAAAATATATATTTTAACTGCCAGTCCAAAGAAAATGTCACCGGTGATGAGAGAATCAAGCTGATTTCTTTTCTCCTCATGAATCATTGTCACAATAAAGGGTCTGCGTGACAACTCTGCCCTCAGCAATCACTGAAAAACCCAGTTCCTTTGAAATTAGGAGTCGGCTGGTCCTTATACTGATAGTACTCGGTGACGATGACAATGATGCACAGGGAGAAATGTAACTTAGCTGCCTGTCACGGTTCTCACTTCAGCTGACTTCCAGCAGCACTTTACTATTCCGTATTAATAGAAATTAAAATATTAAACATTTACTCATTAAGGTATGCAGATCTGATTCACGGGGAACTGGTAAGGAAACGCTGTTTTTAAGTGGAGATATTACAACGAAGAATATTTCAAGTCAGAGCTTCCCAGAAGAAACAGAAGGTACTTGTTTATTCAGTGTCAGCTGGAATAACAAAAATTCCTTCTACTGGTAACAGGACATCAATGCACATTAAGCCAATGGCGATTTTCCTGAAGTTTTTTCGCCTTCAGAACTCGTGAAAGAAATTTAAAACACTCAAGGCAAATGTCAGTGCTAGGGACAGTAATGTAAAGAATCAAAGTGGAACTACCTGGAATGTACATTAAATAAAAGGCAGGGAACGAGCAGCGAGTGAATTTTTATATGTTCACATTACAACAAACTAGTCAAAGATTCCGACCCCTGGCACCGCAGAAATCTTCCTGGTTTTGATATTTTCAATAAAATAATTCCCAAGAGGGCTGGGGAAAAAAAAAAAAAAACAACACACCACTCTTTCTCTCCCTTTCTTTCAATAAAATGAGACCTCATCTGTATTACGAGGAAGAATACTAATAATCTGATAGTGTGCTGAGGTAGCTTGTGTAAAGCTTTTGCCTGGGATTTAATATTGCCCGGGAAGTCCGGCAGATTTCCACGGCTTTGCTGGGGAAAAGTGAGCAGCACTGAGCGTCAGCTCCTCGTGCAGCCAACAACTTGTACCTCAGCACAGGGAAGGGAGGAGGGGATGAGCTCCGATCGTGGACGGCCAACCTAGGGGGGAGAATCCAGAGAGGAGCTGATCCCGATAACGCAGGACGGGCGGGTCCCATCTGTACACAAGCAACGGCCTGATAAGCATGAAATGTGCTCCCCACGCTGAGATGACTCTGGGACAGCTCTGCTTGGAGGGCCCCGAGTCCCTCTGAGCTGAGGGAACACAAATATTTGAGAGCAGCGCGAGATGGGGAGATGGGGAAAGGCAGGAGAGGTGGCAGCAGTGGGTGATAAGGGAGAGGTGCACGTCCGTCACAGCAATTAATGCCACTCTGCAAGGGCTTTTGGAAATGCAGCACCAGAGGGAACCCACAGATGGCTCCTTTCCAGTGCACTTTGGAAAGGGGTAGGATGGGCCGCGCTACTGCAAATCCCAGGCTGCAGGGTAAGAAGGACCAAAAAAAAAGAGAAATAAAATAAAAGGAGAGAAAGGGGGAAAAAGCATCTTCTTTTTCTTCCTGAATTTCCTCTTCACAAATAAAACAAAATAAACTGGGCATGTACAGCCAGGGCAAGGATTGAATCAGAGGTTGGACGGTCTGATGCTACAGATACACCAAGCTGACCCATAATGCCATAAATGCCG